TATAACTCTTAGAAGAAAACATAAGCAAAACTCTCTTGAATATAATCATGAGCAACTTTTTCATGAGCATATCTCACTGGGTAAGGGAAACAAAAGCTAAAATTGACAAGTGGGACTATATCAAACTAAAAGGCTGTACAGCAAAGGACACCATCAGTAGAACAAAAGAACACTGTACAGTATGGGAGAATATATTCATAAATGATATCCGACAAGGGGTTGACATCCAAAGTATATAAAGAGCTCACACGCCTCATCAATCAAAAAGCAAAAAATCCAATTAAAAAATGGTTGGAGGATATGAACAGACACTTCTCCAAAGAGGAAATTCAGACCAACAGGCACATGAAAAGTTGCTCCATATCATTAATCATCAGAGAAATGCGAATTAAAACCACAATGAGATATCACTTCACACCTGTTAGGATGGCCAACATACAAAAGACAACAAATGCTGGCACGGATGTGGAGAAAGGGGACCCCTCCTACACTGCTGGGGGGAATGTAAACTAGTTCAACCATGTGGAAAGCAGTATGGAGGTTCCTCAAAAAACTCAAAATAGAAATACCATTTGACCCAGGAATTCCACTCCTAGGAATTTACCCTAAGAATGCAGGAGTCCAGATTCAAAAAAGACATATACACCCCTATGTTTATTGCAGCACTATTTACAATAGCTAAGAAATGAAAGCAACCTAAGTGTCCATCAAGAGATGAATGGATAAAGAAGATGTGGCACATTTCCAATGGAATATTATTCAGCCATAAGAAGAAAACAAATCCTACCATTTGCAACAACATGGTTGGAGCTAGAGGGTATTATACTCAGTGAAATAAGCCTGGTGGAGTAAGACAAGTACCAAATGATTTCACTCATCTGTGTAATATAATAATAGCAAAGCAAAACTGAAGGAACAAACCTGTAGCAGACTCACAAAACCCAAGAATGGACTTAGAGTTACCAAAGGGGCAGGGACTGGGGAGTGTGGGTGGGAAGGGATGGATACGGGGATTAAGGGGCATTATGCTTAGCACACATAATTTGGGGGTGGGGAACGGGTAAGGCAGTATAGTACAGAGAAGACAAGTGGTGACTATAGCATTTTACTACACTATTGGACAGTGTCTATAATGAGGTATGTGGTGGGGAATTGATAATGGGAGGAGTTTAGTAACTACAGTGTTGCTCATGTGATTGTATATTAATGATACCATAGTAAAATAAATAAATAAATAAACAAATAATAAATATCAATGAATAAATAAAAGAAATTAGACAGGAAGCAAAATAGGATCTTACTGGAGCTATGGCAACAACTGAAACCAGAGCAGCAGTTACAGCCATTAAGATCAAAGATGCAGAGGTCAGAGACAGAGCCACGAGTCCGGCCTGTGTGTTTGCAAGACTTCCTGCTGGAGAGTGAACCAACCTCCCTTGAGCCCACACAGGAAGATGACTGGGGAACACAGTTCAACTGAGGGGAAGGTCGTACTTGCCCTGAGGGACCAGGGGGGGACCGGAGGCCACATGTTAAAATAGCTATTCATTGGTCCCCAGTGAATATACAACGTGTCCTAGCTGGTGGACACTGGGGCTGATGTTCACTGATTCATGGTAACCCTGACTGGTTCCCCAGAACCCCCACTATCATAGATGGATATGGGGGTAAGGCTATCAGAGTGAAATAACCCCAAATCCCTTTGGGAATAGGACACCTATCCCCAAAAGTGTATACTGTGTATATATATCTCCTATCCCTGAGATATTTTGGGGATTGATATCCTGCAGGGTCTGTGGTTGCAGACCACTGCAGGTGAGTTCAGACTGAGAGTTCGTGTGGTGAAATCAGTTCTGAGGGGACATGCTAGGCACCTGCCCATAGCTTTGCCTGTGCCTCAGTGGGTGACTAATACCAACAGTCTATGGTATGGTCAGTCCGCTTATGGACCATGCTATGGCATTTTAATGAGAGACCCAGAAAGGGAGCCCTGAACTCCTTAGACATATTAACACATATGGGCTGCCTCCCCTAAACTGCAAGTACAAACCAAGAAGATCACTTAAGCCGAGGTTCGGCCACCAGAATAGTATCTTGCTGCCAGCACCAACTGCACTGAACCCCGGGGACTCCATTGAGTGGACGTGGCCTTGGACCTTTTGACACATGGACCAACAATGGCTGGCTCTCCTGGCACCTTGGGGACAAGGCCTGGAAGCTGGCCTCCTGTGTATTCCTGGAATACCAGCAGAGTGGCCACCCAAGGATCCCAGTAGTATAATATATCCTGAACGGCCAGAAGGTAGGAGCATCTTACCAGGGAGTTTTGTTTTATCATTATGGCCAGTGCCTGAACCTCCAGTAGCACTATATATAGACCCCTCAGTAAACCCCACAGGGAGGGGAGTAAAGGTATGGTATACTAGACCTGAACAGGACCCCCTTCCTGCTGCAGTCCTATTACAGGACCACTCTCTTGCATGCATCCTACCTGATGGACAAGATTTGCCTATGTTGTCATAAAATGTGTCTTATCACCCCTAGGGTCTTTGTGGATTGGGAACCTCCTCTGGCTTGAGGATTATTATAATTTTTGTTACCTATATCAAAATCTTGTTGTATCTTAATTTTTGTTATTACCTCTAAGTTGTTGTTATCCTCTGTTGCTATTGTGGAATCTGGTTATAGTGCTCCAGCTTTCTCGCACAGGGACCATTGCGGAAGATTGAAAGTGTGTAGATTGTAAGGTGAGAATCCTGGAGGGGTGGAGTGTGGGGAAGCTGGGGTTCCTATGGCCAGGATCTTCACTGAACTTAAGCCACTTGATATAACTGACCTGTTGCTAGGCTACTGCTTCCACACCCATAGGCAATAAGCTATTATTGCACTGTATAGAGAGCTCAGCCCAGTGCTCTGGGCACAGGCAGAGATGCTAGTGCTCAACCTATGCAGGGAGAACAAGCTAGGTAATAAACCCTTTCATCCCAAAGAAACATTCATTCTACAGTCATTTCTTTGGTCACACCGAATCCATAGCAAACTTGCTGGGGGCTGAAACCCATTGGCAAGACACCCCCTTTGCTGAGAGACTAAACCTAAATTAAAATCAAGCTACTTGCTAGCAGAAATAAGGGTAAAAAGCAAAGCTGGGAACCTTCCCATGCCCAGTTTAACCTCACATGTCTGAGTTAAGTACTTAGCATTATATGGATGGGCAGAGGGATCTGGAGCAGAAGGGAGTGGGTAAAGACCTCTCCAAAGAGCTTTTCAAATATCACAAGTGCAATTATGAAGGAAAAAACTGACAGGATTGACTTTATAAGAACTTAACCATAAATAAACCAAAAAGGCAAATGACAAAATGAAAACATTATTTGCAAAGTTTATAATAATAAAGCATCAACAGTCTTAAAAATATAAAGAGCGCCTATGAGAAAAAAAATATAATAATGTAGAAAAATGGACAAGGGCATGAAAAGACAAATCACTAAATATCTATCCATTTTCATATACATATGTATGTATGTAAATGGAAAATAAATGTTTAACCTCACTAGTAATCAAAATAATGCAAATGTTGAAACAATAACATCAAAATATTTTATCTGTCAAATTGGCAAAAATGAAAAATACGTTATCAGGCAGGAATACAGGCATTTCTTTGGTATGACGTTTCTGGAAGGGCAACCTGGTAACAGTCTTTAAATGTGCATTTTATTTTTAGTTATTTATCCTAAGTAAAGCCTTGTGGATGTGTGCAAAGATAGAGCTACAAGGATATTCGCTGAAGCATTGTTTACAATAGTGGCAAATTGGAAACAAATGTCCAGCAATCCAGAAGTAGGTAAACAGATTCTAGCTGATGGTTCATGATACGTGCAGCCGTTATAAAATGATGACATGGAATGGGAGTCCTAAACTCCTGTGTATTCCTGGAATACCAGCAGAGTGCCCCCCAAGGATCCCAGTAGTATAATATATCCTGAACGGCCAGAAGGTAGGAGCATCTTACCAGGGAGTTTTGTTTTATCATTATGGCCAGTGCCTGAACCTCCAGTAGCACTATATATAGACCCCTCAGTAAACCCCACAGGGAGGGGAGTAAAGGTATGGTATACTAGACCTGAACAGCACCCCCTTCCTGCTGCAGTCCTATTACAGGACTATTACATTAGGTTCACCTGTTGAACTTCAAAAAAATACAGGTATCCCACACCCAAACATTCTAATTGAGTAGGTTTGATTCTGTGGTATACTCTCAGTTGAGAATTACCGTTTCAGAAGTAGATTTAGTGACACAGAAAATCTTATGTTATATTGTGAAAATGCAAAAAAAAAATTTAGAAAAGCAGAATTATATTATTAAGAAGCAAACAGAGTCTTCCTTTTCCTATATTATGGCAGTCTAAATATCTCAATGACTTGATTAAAGAAAATTAAAAGCTAAATATTAAAGAGAAAAATTTGCATATGCCTAATAGAGAAAAAACTATACAGCTATACCTCAACATCTTATGTTGGTTCTCTCCAGATGATGGAATTACAGCATATTTTTCTTTTTCCTGTCATTTTTCCTACCAAATTACTATAATTAACACATGATTTTTCTTATTAGAAAAACTTTAAAATTCCCCTCATATACATTTCACACTCATTTAGAAGGGAAATGTATGATAATCAAGTAAGAGTTCAAGAGTTGTAAACAATGTCTTATAAATTAGTTTCTAAAGGAGTCTTTCACTTAGTTGTTTTAAATTATCTCCCTATATCATGTCCCTACCAAGTTTCAACTACTATACCAAAGTTTATATGTGATTATAAAAAGAAGATTCATTTGAAGAAAATAAAGAGAGACTGAAAGACAGCCTTTGTGCACTGTAGCAACTTTCATCTTTTAGACAATGTAGGCAAGGCAAATAGACAATGGTTAACATATCCCCAGGCTGTACAAGGGCAAAGCTCAGTGCAAGTAGGAAGCGCTAGCAAAGGAAAAACATTACCTCTCCATTTCTTATAGAGGGATCCACTGTGGCTGCTGCCTCCTCAATGAGACCAATGCCTGATGGCTCTCTTGTACCGAGTTTCCCTAGTGATGCTGCCTTCAGCAGCTCGTTCATTTTCTTTCTAGTTTCCTCCTTTGCTAAAGCCAGCTCTCTCTTCAGGATCTCTGCACCATGCCAGTGCTGCCATTCTGTAAAGCAGTGTCGGAGAACTTGTTTCCGGTTATACTCCATGGCCACTTGTTGCTTCCTAAGTAACGAAGTACTTCCATTAAAAAAAGAAGCCATTTACAGCTTGTTAGTTGATAATGTAAATGAAACACAAGTCCAAAGGAGTCCCAGAAATGCTCCATCTTATCTCCAGCTTATTTTAAGCTAAGTGGAATGGCTGTATAAACTCCCTGGTGCCAAGAGTCTGCTCATAGAAGGCCTTGGCACCTCAAGACAGCGCTTCAGAAGAAAGAGTGACTGCTCTGTTCTATCAAGTCACAAAGACATATATATTTTTAATGACTGCAAAATTGTTTCGCAGAGTTTTTAGAGGGAAAAAAGTGAAAGAATAGGCATATAAATAATACTTTGTAAAAGATGAATGATGGAAATTTCAGCTATGCTTGGAAATCTAATAAAGAAGACAGTTTTGGAAGAAAGGAACAAAATTTAACAAGTGAATTGTCAATAATTAAGTATAAGACTTAAAAAAGTCTACATGAAACTGTGACAATGGATCTTGTGAAAGCACTTTATCAGGGAAAGGATCTCTAAAAAGAACTAATTTACCAAACCCTTAAACTGAATGAATGAAGGAGCACTTTGTGCAGATACTTGCTAAACACTAGGAACACGTGCAAGGCAAGGACAAGGCCCTTGCTCTCAGAGAACTCTTCATAATCCAGTAGGGGTCTGGCTCATTCTTTTCCTAAGGAAGAGCTCCCTTCAATTTTTGCGAACTTTACTACGTTAGGGACATGACTGTGTGGACTTGGGAGATACTGGCTATCTTCACTTCTCAAAGGGAATCTCTATTAGGAGACACTTTTGTGACAGCCAGTTGAGAATTCAAGCATAGAGGTCTCTGAGCTCTGTCTGTAAGTGGATTATTATCATCCCTGAAGATGTGACCTGCAGAGTTTGGAATTTATTATGTCATATTCAGGGGTCAGTTGTGAGGTTTAAAATCTAATACTGTTTAGACACTTGATTCTACCTTGTAAAGGTGACTTGCATGTTCTCTATAACGCTTTTTGCATTGTTTCTTTTAAATACACTTAATGCTTAACTCTACTCATGATTTTTTGGTGTCATATGAAAATAATCAAAGTTTTTAAGTCAGTGAGTCAGGAGAACATTTCTACAGTTCTTAAATGCTTACATGACTTTTAAACCTTTTTTTGACTGCCACCTACCATAAGAAAAACATGTTAATACTGTGATTCAATATACCAATGTGTGTGTAGGAGAACAAAAGTGTATACAACTGAAACAAAAGTTTCTCTAAACACTTACCCTTACTACCAGAGATGCACTTTAAGATGTTCTAAGCTAATCTATTTGTTTAAAAAAATACAGCCATCTTGAGCCTGATTTAAGGACTCATAATGGGTTAAAACTCTTAGTTTGAAAAAGACTACTTTAGGATCACAAAATTTAACCTATGTCAAAGGAGTTGGATGAAACAACCAATTAGAGCAGAGCCAACTGAAATAGTGAATTTCAGGATAAACACTAATATTCAGTCTGCCAACAGCGTATTTCATTTTAGTTGCTTCTTTCTAGTACATATACTTAATAAATATTTGGCGACTAACTGATTGACAGTTATGGTAATAAAAGTACAACATAGATAGTGATAAACATTTATAGTATTTTACTTTGAAGGAAATAAAGTATGTGAGGTTGAATAACTGAAATACAAACTTTAAAAGAAATAAAGACATAAATCAGGTAGCAACACAGGTAAGAACAAAGCTCAAAATATATCAGTAGTGAAACAGAAAGCCTATAGCACTTAAGTAAGTGAAAGTCATAAATTTCCACAGGAGGTGTAGATTGTTTTGATTAATGTGACATTCCATTCACATCAATCTGCTCAGAAAGGGGGATTGTGAAATTTACCTGATGTGTTAGTCTCGTGTTTTTACAGCATAAATAGCCAAAAGCAGCATGGCCTTTTGACTGTTAGAGAAGAGATTATTTGGACACTATGAAAAGGCAAAGAGAAAAATATTTCTATAAGTATAACAGAGAGACTAAACAGTAAGAAAATGGGTAAAAAAAAAAATGTTCACTATAGTGCTTAGAGCCCACTCTATAATGGTCACATAGGGGATCTGAAAATCTATTTAAGATATCGATGTTTGTGGGTTGAAGTGGAAGGATGGACATGCAGAAGCTAGGGATCCCGAGACAGGACTGGCTCTACACCTGTTTTCCTCAAGTTCACTTCAGTAGAGGGACAATATTCCAGAGAAGCCAACTCCTATACCTTATGACACTAAAAATGTAAGTATTTCTGGAAGTGAAAAATGACTCAAATTTCTTCAAAACTCAATCAGATCCAATTTACTTGGGTATGCTAACCTAAAGGAATGGTTTCAGACACAGTCTCTAGATAATGAAAAAATGAAAGACAGAGTTCCCTTGTGGAAGACATCCTGTCCCCATATGCTTCCAAGCTCAAATCAGGGAATTTCTGGCAAGAGTATATAAAATGATCATCATAATTATATAACTGCATGCAGAGAAAGGCTGTTTCTAAAGACCTAATATGATGGAAAAACTCAGTTTTCTTTCATATAAGAAAGTTTCAGGTCACCAAATATGTGGAGGTTTCTCCCAACATCTGACACTTCTGGCCACCAAATGTTTGGAGATTTCTCCCCACACCAAAATCAATTCTCCACACCAGCAAGGTGTCCAAGAACTCAGCTCAATTTTGACACTATCTACCCAGAGAGAGCATCAGATCCTACAGGTTCAGGGCTCCGTCCCACAGGGCTACCATTCACCCCAACTTCAGATGACAGTTGCAAGCCCAGCTCTCACTGGTGCTTCTAGGACTAAATGGCTATAGAGCAGAGATTCCAATAACCCCTTCCTTGGTTTCAACTGATTTTCTCAAGTGGCTCACAAAACTCAGGGAAATACTTAATATATAGCAGTTTATTAAAGGATATGATAAAAGATACAGATGAACAGCTGGATGAAGAGTACATAGGTCCTACAAGGTCCTAAGCACAGTAGCTTCTGTCCCCACAGAGTTGGGAGTGCATGACCCTCACAGTCGGGATGTGTTTGCCCATGAAGCTCCCCAAACCCTGTGCTTTGGGGATTTTATAAAGACTTCATCATGTAGGCATGACTGCTCATAATGCCACTTTCAGCCCTACTCTCTTCCCAAGAGAATGGAGGGTGGGACTGAAAATGCCAAGCTGCTTCTTATGGCTGGTCTTTCTAGTGACTGCCCTCATCCAGGAGGCCACCCTCATTAGAACAAAAGACGTTCTTCTCACCCTGGAAGTTACAAGGATTTGGGAGCTCTGTCATTTATTTATCATCCAGCTGCAGATGACGTGCAGTTTCTGGCCTCTCACCTGTATACCAAGGTGAGCAAGGATGCATGGGCAATCGATTGCACATGATTAACAGAGGTGCTCCATAAATGACTGCCCCAAAGAATGCTGAAATGAGGAGGGCTGACAATGGGGTATCTGACAGCCTATTTTCAATTCAGCCTCCCCACCCTCACCCCTGCCTTGGCTCAGTAGGTTCACCCCAGCCTGTTCTGGTTTATCCATCCCAGGAAACTTACTATACTTTAACAGGCATTGTCTGGAAACAGACAATACACGCTGCCTATATGCTGGTTTATAGGTTTTTCCCCAAACTGAAAAATGCCTTCCTATACTTAGCCACATTCTGTCTGTCTCAGAAGATGGGGCTCATGAATTGTTATTTTTAAAAAGCTCCTCAGGGGTGTATACTGCACATCAGCCAAGTCTATGTCACTCCCAAGTATTTATCTTACGGTGCCTTCTGTTGCAATTATTTTTAGCATTTAGGTAAATTTTTAATTTCACTTAGATTGCAAACTCTTAGAAGGCAAGCGTGTTTAACACTTTTTTTCAGTCCCCCCTCCTGGTACTTAGGAAAGAGTCTTAGTACCCAGTTAAGCATGGTAAAGCCGGTTAAATGAAGCATACCTTCTATCAAATAACTGAATGAATAAGTAAACAAACGCATGCCATGGTTTAAGGGCAGTCACCGGCCTGCCACACTAACCTCCATCCCATTTGCCAGATAGGATCTGTTTCTAGACAATATCTGATAAAGTATAGTAAGTTTCCTGGGATGGATAACATCAATTGAGGATTACAGAAAAAAATGTATGAGGGGCTTGAGGGACAAAGGGAAGAGAGAAAAGCATGTTCCCGGAAAGGCCCAGAGCCCTGGTGCAAGAATGAAGGTGATTTGATTAATGAAGGACAGAGGTACTCCCAGGGAAGAACTGAGAAATCAGGGAAGCCAGGTGCAGAAAGGCCTGGTGGAAACAAACCCTGCTTCTTCCTGATTTTGTCTAGGGCTGGCCACACAGGGAGGAAGGGACAGAGGAGCAATGGAAAACCTAGGACTGGGGCCAACTTTCAAAAGTGAACAAGCTAAGGAAATTAAAGTTCCAGTTCAAATTACAATACCACCACGTCAAAGGGTCTAACTTAGTGTGTGCACCAGAATTTTTAATCCTCAAGGTTTGGGAATGTTTGTTAGTGTTAAATTGTATTACAACACTGTATTTAAATTTTGTAACACCATAACTATAACTATTATTAGACAAAAAAGATAAAATAGAAGAAAGAGAGAGGGAGAGAAGGAAGGGAGGGAGGGAGGGAGGGAGGGAGGGCAGTGTGGTATAAGAAAAGGTATCTAAAAATAAAAATAAACAGGCTCTAGTCCTGGACTAGTTACTCTTAACTCTGTGACCTTGATAGTCATTCACACTTTCTGGGCCTTACTTTTATCATCTGTAAGGTGAGGAGCCAGGAGAGATGATCCTTCCTGCTCTACAATTTTTTGCTCTAAAGTTTTATAGTAAAAAAATTATTATAAGTTAAATATTTCCTAACACTGGCAGTTCAAAAAAAATGTAGCACCCATTCTGAACATTTAAAAATAGACACCTGAAAATAATTCAGATATGAGACAAAAAGTTCTGAGATCTTTAAAAAAAAATTGGCACATCATGCTATTATGAAATCCCCATTTAGTAATTTTATATTTAAACAGTTTAATTGGAACAAAATCTCAAGTTCTTCAGAATTTTCTTCTACAAGTTTCTTTGGGCATGTAAATTTCATAGGCCACTTTTAACTTAACACCTCAGATTCCACTCCCTTTACGCCTTCACTCATGTTGCCTTCCCTTTGCAACACCTCCAGTTTCCCTTCTTTATCCAATACCCTGCTAACTATCCCTTTCTCAGTAAGCTATCACCCCAATTCTTTCTCAGTTGCTAGGTCCTGAGAATTCAGAAACAAATTACAGGTGAGTTTTCTATGTTGACCTTTTTTTTTCACTGAAGATTTCCCCCAGCATACTGTAAGAAAGGGAAATTGATTGGGTCATTCTCCTGCTTAAAAACCTTAAAAAATTCACCTTTATTTACCAAAGAACACCTAAACTCATTGTCTTGGCATTTGAGGCCTTTCACAAGTTGGTGTACTGATAACCATATGCTTGAGGACCTCCCACCGATCTGGATGGCTACACTTCATTCCATTACCTGATCTCCACACCTCCACCTAGGAACACCCTACTTATGGTGCAGGGCCAGCTCAAGACCCATCTTCTTCATAAAGCTTTTTTTTTCTGTAGGAGCTCCTCAATCCCTGCAATACTTCTGCTAAGGTCTCAGCAGCAGAAGGGGATGCATTATGTGGTTTATAATGCTCACCAACACCTGTACTGTTTCTAGATCATGTCTTTCCCACAGAACTATGAGTCAGGCTTCTATTTATCATCTTCAGGGCCTGATGCTCTCAGAGAGTTGCACAACTCCAGGAGCCACCATTCCTTGCTACATAACAATGCTTTCACATACAATTCATTCAATTTTTCACCCTGAATGAGTAACAGTTGCTGGTAGAGTAGTGATTGCATATAAGAACATAATCTCCCTCCCCCAAACAAATGGTTCCTTCTACATCTTCGATTTTGGTTTAAAAATGCAAAGTTGAACTTGGAAAAGAAGAAAATGTATTTAATTTTTAAGATGATGGAACAAAGGTTTTATTTAAAGAAATTTGTCATTCATAAATGTAAGAGGGAGCTGATATAAAGGTGTCAAAAACCTAAATAAGGTGTGGAACAAAAGATGGGGAAGTAGAAGGAATCACTCTTGGCAGGTCTGCCCTCCCAAAAGAACATTCCCTGTGTCCTTAATTAACATTCCATGTGCAGACATTGATTTCTATAAATGAAAATTACTGGCATAAAAACCAAGCTCTAACTTCTGAACTGCAAGGAGGCCCAAGGTGCAATGCTACTACATTACAGGACAAGGGAAAAGCATAATACTTGTCCTTTTTGAAAAGGGAAAGCATGTACACTAGTATATTTTAATCAAATAATTTTTTTTGCTTATAATTTATACTTAGATTTTTCTAGTTTGGGATATAACATAGAAAAACAGTGATTACCACATTTCATAAGCAGATGACACGATTCCAGTGAACATCACTTTTAGGTTTTATTTCTGCATTCTTCAGGAGGAAAGATGTTCTAGATGAACATACTAAAAGGTTTTTCATGGCACAAATAATAGTACCTGTTTTCTTCCCGAAGCTCATCTTCCATGGCTTGAGTCTCCCGCACCAACTTCTGGGATCTGGTGTAGTCTCTCCAAGCGCGCAGGACCTTCAGTTGAAACTTCCAGTCACACAGGGTCCCAGCTTTCCCCAGCTTAATCCTACGATCAAGAATCAGCTTGTGCCAGGCAGAGAAATACCGTTTTTGACACTGCAAAGGAAACATTTAGAAAACCACCACTGGTCAGCACTTCTGTTGCTAATGTATAACATTGAGAGCCTTCTCCTCAGACTTCCCCCTCAGACTTTTTCAAACAATTCTAGGAACTGTTGTCTTGACCACAGGGAAACAAAGCACAGCTTACACTAACAATGACAAGAAATATTGAAGTAATGCAACTGATGCACTCTCAGCCTCATGACTTAACTAAAACACTTAATTCTCATGGGAAGGCACCAATCCCAAGGGGACCTGGAGTAACAGTTACATCTAAGACCTGAGGCGAGGGGATTGAGAGGTTTGAAGACACGCTTCCAACAGACTGTCCCCGGCCAGGCTGTCTCGGATTTTTAAAGACCAATGATTTAATTCATTCCTGTTAGTGACACTGCTGATGTTCTGCACCAACAAACATGGCGATCCCATGAGGATGGAACAGGGTCTGTGGTCTCTGGGAACAAGGCAGCTAAGCTGTCTTCAGTTGGGCAACATTGACTGCATCAGGGCTGTGGTGAGCAGGCCCAGGGGCACTAGATGCTCAGGATGTGGTCTTCCACTGTGGAAGCCCCCCCTTATCCATGATCCAAGACCCCCAGGGGATGCCTGGAACTAAATAATACCAAACCCCACATACACTATGTATTCTCTCTTATACATACATAACTAGGAGAAAGTTTAGTTTATAAATTAATTAAGATATTAACAACAATGACTAATAATAAAATAGAATATAACAATACACTGTAATAAAAGTTACATGAAGTGGTCTCTTTTGCTAAATAACTAATTGTACTATATTCATCCTTCTTGTGATGATGTGAAATGATAAAAGGTTTATATGAGAAGTGAGGTGAATGACACAGGCATTGTGACAGTGTTATGCTCCTAATGACCTAGGATCAGCTGCTCCCAGACTGCAGATAACTGAAACCGTGGAAAGTGAAGCCTCGGGTAAGGGGTGACCACTGTATATATATCTGACAACACATTGGACAAGGTCTACTGACCCTAAGGATGTCCCCACAGAAGTACTTTACTCATAATCCTTATCCATGAAAATCTGAGACCTAGTCCTTGCTATATCCTTCCTCACAACAAACTTTGTGTTCCCACTAAATCACATAACATTCAGCTCTTGGCCTTACATCAGCTGTACTGTTTCACACCTTCCTAACTGTGTTCACACTAATTATTCCATCCTTCTTTCCTGCCCTCTCTGTGCCTGACTACTTCATAAGTCATCTCTCTCAGGAAGCCCTCCTATTACCAACCGCTTTTCCCAAATCTAAGTGCCTTTCCACTCTGACCACAGAGTGACCTCTGCTTTCTTCAGTCAAAACACTCACCACACTGTATTAAAATCACCTGTTTATGGTTTCCACTAGATTGCAAACCTCCAGAAGGAAGGGACTCGGTCCCATGAACAGAAATGGCAAATCTGAGAGTGGAACCAAGTGTGTGGGTAACACTAAAACAGAAAGTAACCTCACAGGTAGTGACTCTGTGGGAGGTACAGGAATGCCTGATGACCAGCTTCAAGGACTGGGGTAGGCTTACCAGGGACAGCAGTATTTCCTGTTTCTATGAAAACACTTAATCTTTATCTAGTTCAGCATTTAGTAAGTAGCCACCACTGTGTGTGAATTTGAGGACTATGAATGAAATTATTTAAGATATAATCTCTACTTCTGCGAGGTTTTAGGGTGAGAGGATATATAAATTAAAAAACCAATATCATAAGGAACATATGTTAGAATTCTTAATAATAGTCCATTTGGCTAGAAATGATTTCTACATAAGAATACAGGTAAATTCCCATTTAGAAAAACCCCAAAATCTTCTTTATTATCACTTCTCACCAGGAGAAACCATGGCAAAATTTAAAATATGCTCATAACCTCTCCATTATGTCTAATGAGGGCATATTTCTAGACCTTCAACTTAAATCCCCTAGAAAGAAGGAAGGGAAGGAGGTAGAGAGGGAAGGAAATAGGGAGAAAAAGACAGAGGAAGGGAAATTTGCTGAATATAGGATATGCATTTGGTCATAACAAGGAAAAGACACAGCTAGCTGCCAGGTTAAGGGGGCATTGTCTTTGCACTATTATTTGCCTAACTAGCCCACAAAATACAGCATGAAAAAAATATAGCATTAACTTATGTGCCATAATCAAGCGAAAACATGTTGTGTCTCTTTATCAGATTCATTTAAGAGATTCCTCTTGAATGACTTGATGTAATAGTCTATATCTGTAATTTTAACTCTTAAACTATTTCTTATGATATAGTACAAACATAATTCATCTTGGCAACAACACTATTAATAGTGTCTTAGATTTCTACATTCCTTCTCTGTAAAGTTCAAAGTACCTTACATGTACAGTTGACCTTGAACAACATGGGTTTGAACTGCATGGGTCCCCTTAAACAAAGATTTTTTGCAAATACCATCCTGGAAAACTTTCTGGAGATCTGCAGCAATTCGAAAGAACATTTTCTTTTCTCTAGATTACTTTACTGAAAGAATACAGTATAATGCATACAACATACAAAATTTGTGTTAATCAACTGTTTATGTTATTGGCGACTTCCAGTCAGTAATAGGTTATTGGTACTTAAGCTTTTGGATAGTCAAAAGTTCTATGCAGATTTTCAACAGTACGGAAATTGGCACATTATTCAAGGGGTAACTGTCCTATTTTATTAATTTATAGACTATCATTACAAAACAGAAAGTTGCAGATACCATCATGATGTACCTTACCAAGCTAAACTTGAGGCAGAGAAGGGTTAATGACTAAATTCACAAAGTGGTACACTGAAGGCTAAAACAGAACATTCTGGCATCCTAATGACCCAACCCATTAGGCAAAAATTCTCCCCTGGAAAGGAAGGGCTCTTTGCTGTTTTTACACTGGAAGAGAAAGAACTCCATACATAACTTACTGCCACAGAAAAGCAGAGCTAGAACGTATCTGAATTAAGAGGGGAATCTAGTTTATAAATGCTAGTCAATATATTTCTCTAAAATGTTTAGACTTTGAGAGCAAAATGATCAGTTTTACAGGTCTGCAATTCAGTTTTACTTCACAAAAGTTAATGACTTCCAGCAAAGTGACAGACTCATACAACTGCTTTCTTGAAATCAACTCGCTATGGACTTTTTTCCTGCCAACTCAAAGTGCAATCCCATTAAAACAAACAAAAAAACAAAATATGAATCAAGAATAGTCACTTAGTTATTTCTGATTCACAGCAAATATTATTCAAGCAAACAGGAGTCCCATAAAGGTGCTTGGAGGAAAATATTTGGGATAGGAAAATACTCTCATTCCTGACTTCTCTGAGAGAAGCTGCTACACGCTGCTTCAATTTAGGAGGGAAAAGAAGTGGAGAACTTCCATAGGCATGATTTTTTATTCTATTATACCCCTGTCCCAGCCACCTAGTCCCTGCTGCCCCCAAGCCTGCATCTCTTCAGTTCTACACTCTGGGACTACAACAGTGCTCTCTTTGCTTTTTGAAATAAGAAGTACCACTTAAAACTACAACTGTGTTGCAAGGGGAATACATTCTATTTAAGCCACAAGAGCTTAATGTTTTAACTAGCCAGACAACTCATCTGACCTTCTGCCATTTCTTACCTAGTTCATTTATTTCTGCACCATGTTTTTATTTCTGATAGATTGTCAACTACAGTCGTGCATTCTTTTACTAACTTCTACATCTCTTTATCATAGTTGTGATAATTAGGGCTTGGTAATTAGGGTAAATAAAATACTGAAAATCACTATGGGAAGAACTGTTCTTAAGTATATATCTACAATAATTTTTGAAATAAAATACTACAAAGTGGAATTTAGAAAATTTTTAAGTGAAATGATTTTTTCCTTTGAAAATCTTCCACAAGACATCATTTGGTTGTTAAGGATTCCACTCAAGAGAAGAAATGACAGCTCACCCTGCTAAATTTATTACCTGCACTGGAGCTGCCCTCCTTCTGTTGGCAAGAAAAGCTTTTCCCTGAAGTGTAATCACACTGCTGTCACTGGGAATGACTGACGTTAGGTGGAACAGCAATTTGCTATCTAATCTTCATTGTAATTCTAACCCTGTCACTAGAGATGCTTGTTCTGATTAATGAAGTAGATAACTCATCAAAATGCCTCAGCTATTTTCCTTTTGTCAGAAAGCTCAGTGATAATTGCATCAAAATTCTCAGTCATGGAAAAAATAAACAATGAATTGTAAGGAGGACAAAAATGTCAACAAGTTTACAATTTATTTCTGCTGAATAGAACTAACTGGGTTGCAACTAGTGGTCAAGTAGAGTTGGCCAAGATGTGAATGTTTGCACCAACTACCCTCCTGACATGATCCCAGGACTTCTTGCTGCTCCCAGACCAAAAGACCTGTGAATAGACACCCTATTGCCAGATAAGGAAGCATTTGCCTTCTTCCTTTTGGGGACCACTACAATCAGGCAAAAGGCCCCACAACCCTATGAAGTGCCTGGGGTTTTGGGAGCAGAGGAACTTTTTTTATGGCCAAATGAATGCCCGTGGGAAGGAGAACCAAGTTCCTGTGACCCGTCCTACTCCTGATTTCGATTCCTCTGTCCCAACGAAAAGAGACAAAATCATTGTGTCCCCTACCCCAAAGTATACATACTCCTATAATGAATTACATTAGGGAAAATGCATTCAGTCCCCAGCACACAGTGCTAAGACCTGCACTTGCTATTGGGTTCCACAGAAAAGCCCAAAGGCCTAAATTCTGACAAACACTGCTGTGAGAAACGCTACTATTGGCTACAGACAAAAAGCTACTCTTGTTAGATCCTGGAAGATGGGGTGCTCACTTCTATAAATTTTTTCTCCTTCCTGTTTTAAACTTAAAACAAAACCCCTTATTACAGGAATTTAACAAACATACCCAAAAGTAGAACAGAAGAATAGACCCCTTAGTTGGCTTCAAAAATTATCAACAGT